CCAAAGCCAAGAATTTGGAAAAGCTAGCTGCCAAGGAAATATGCTGTAAATACCTGGACAAGAAAGCAGGACATCTGCTGGAAGAGGTTGCTATTGATTTTGCCTCAGCCATCTGCCTTTGTCTGAGAAAGAAGAATTCTAACATAGCAGAGGTAATATTTTAACAATCTGATTTTGAGAATTTTGCCTTCATGACAGCAAGGTCTAGAGCTACAACTTTTGTGCCCCAACTTTTTTGGGCTGTCGGTAATGTGTGTAACAAGGGGTACAGGGATTATTCTGCATTCACAGATTTTGTTGTTTTAAAACAGGTGCTTGAAATTATGGAAACAGCTGAAAATAAATTGAGAGAGCATTACATCTGTGGAGGCAGCACTTCTGGGTTTTCCATGAATACTCCAGAAGAAACCGATGATGAGACAACCAACCTCAGCATGGATGCCCCTTCTGCAGGGCAGAATAAAGAGGACAGCACGCAGCCGGTGCTCCTGGCCAGTGGTGGTCAGTGCACACCTTCAGGAGGAGTCGTGCCACCGGACTGTTTGCAGATGTCACGGATCCCCTGTGAATCGGATGAATCGATGAGTTTCATCTGGAATCCTGAACAGAAATCTGCAGATGAGCTATTCAGCAACAGCTGTGACAATTCAGAAAACACTGCGAGCTCTGACTGCAGGATAAAGGAGAAAACAAAAGCAAACGGACTCCGGGAAAGAAACGTAGTATGCATCAGAAGTGACGACAACTTGGAAATGGCTGCTACTGCACAAAGCACATTTCAGTCCAAAAACGCAGACCTTGACTCTGCGTGTTCATCCCAAGGTAAATGTAGATAAGGCTGAGGTGCGGGTGCAGAACGTTCTGGTGTGCGATGGTTCGGGTGCTGTGGCAGAAGTGTCCGTGCTTCTCTTCTAACCCAAGTCTTCACAACAGTTTGGGCTCTTATTCCTTGCTTAGGATTTTACCAATGAATCTACAGAATGTTCTGTTCCCTTTCTGTCAGTTTTTCTAAACCAGATTTTTAATTTAAAATTGCTGTCTGTGCCTTAGATGCAGATAGATTTTTTTTCTCAGTCTTTGGAATTTTTTGTTTTTCAGCGTTAGCCAGAGAGGCATCCTGGAAAATAAAAATAAATGACCAAAAAAAGAAGCTAATGGAAAATATTTTGCTGTATGAAGAAGACAAATTAAGCAGTTCTGAACTTTTTGATTCTTAAACCAGATGGACTTACTAGCTGTGACCAACGTACAAGAAGAAACAAGGACAGATTCTTCATTAGAATCATTAGAATCTTCATTAGAAATAGATGGTAAAAGTATACGTCTCCTTGAAGTCTGAGTAGCAGATTTGGATCAGAAACATTATCCTTCTCTGAAGAAAAGTGATGGCGCTGAGAAGAAATAGAAAATATCTTTCCTAAAACAGGCTGAGGCTCAGCGCAGCTCTGCCAACAGAAATGCCTTCTTTCTTCTCATCTGCATTATAAAAAAAATTAAGGTCCTTTTCTTCTGTATTTCAAAAAGTATCTGCAGATAATAGGTGTCTTATTAAAATACCACAGTCCTAGAAGTTACAGAGCAACCACTAATCCACAATTGGTTAGCAATGCCCTTTATTATCATTGCATGCTATATGTGGAGACAAATCTTTGACTGAAGAAGGTTTCAGTTTTCAAATGATCTGTATCATACACTCTTTGCCTGTATACCCAAGAACACTGTGTTAGCAGAGAAGGGAATTTCTATGCAAGTTCTCAGACATATTCTCTATGGTTGATCTCAATTTGAATTGCACTGAAAATAGCAGTAAGTAAATAACTGAAGACATGTTGATCTGCTCTGTGGGCTGCTGTACCAGCTGTACGTGTTATGTCATGGAGGTCTAAGCAAGTTTCGCTGTCAGGAGCTATAGGACAGCAGTTACACTTCATAGGGTGTCTCCGAAAGTTGTTTTTCTTCCTAAGTGTCCTTTAAACATTGTTAAGGCTTCTTGTTGTGTTTCATGTGGTGGCTACTATACATTTTGGGCTTTAATTTAAAGTGTCCTCAATTTTATCATCAGTCAGTTTGAATTTGATTAATTGTATTTATTTTGGCAAAGGGTAAAACAGTGACAGATGAGCCATGAAGCGGGCTGGCTCCTGCAGCCTCACAAAGCCAGCTGTGTTATTCTTTCCTTTGTTCCGTGTTAGTCTTAAACATATTCTGAAGTATGGAACCTTACCAGATGTTTATTAAGAGCGGCATAACACAGCTAATATTCTGCATAGTCTTACAGTAACTATACTCTTATGTCAGCTATTTGATACAATGTTTTAATCTCAACGTTTCAAATTTATACTTTATTAATAAACTCGAGAATAAAAAATGGAAGAAGCCCTGTCTATATTCAGCTTTCTCACGACTCATAGCACAGAAAATCTCCTTTCTGCATCTTTCTGAAGCATTGCATGTGTGTTCATGAGCAAGCACCCAGCACCTCCCCGCACTCAGCTATCAGCGACCGTAACAGCGGTGTAAAACGCGCATCCTCGCTCACTGCTAAGCAGTGTTTCTTTCTCTCAGTGATTTCTGGGATGTGTTCCGGTGCCGCTCCTTACCCGCTTGCTGCTGTCTGTTGAACGACACCGCAAGAGGGAAAGCGGCCGAGCGGCACGGCACCGGCACTGCACCGCCCCGCAGAGCTGCGGGAGACAACGAGAGCCGCCTGCTCGCAAAGCTCCATGGCGCTGCGGAGCGCCTCGGTACCGGCGGCCCCGGGGGCGTGGCGCGTGCCCTCACACCTCAGGTCAATGAACGCCGCTCGCGTTTCGCGCGCTGTTCCGCATGACGGCCCGCCCCGAGGCGCTCCCCGCACGTCAGACAGGTACCTCTGTTTTTTGCAGCCTGCTGCAGCGCTCCCCGTGGTCCCACAGCTCCTCCGGGTCCCGAGCACAGAGCCGGCCGGCCCGCCCGCCCGCCGCTCCCTGCTCCCGCGGAGCATCGCCAAGGCGGCCCGAGCGGAGCGAGCGGCGCGGCGGGCTTTTTCTTCCCGCCCTCCTCGGAGCGAGTTCAGCCAATCGGTGCCGGGAGCAGTTCCGGGCCGGCCAATGGGTGCAGCGGCCCGCCGAAAGTCCCGCCCACTGGGCCGTCTCCTCAGGACTGGCCTCGGCTCCGCCGCGCTCTCCGCTCAGAGGCCGGCAGCACGCGGCGTGCCGCGCGCTTTGGTCTGCGGCAGGCTTTCTGTACCTCCTGTACGGAAAGGTACGGGCGTCTGAGAGCGCAGAGCTTTAGGCACGGCTTGCTAAAAAGCTTCCCCCGTCCCGTCAGGGGCAGAACCGCGGCACTGCGGAGCTCTCCGTGTGACAGCCGGGAAACGGCCATCACGGGCTGGGGAAGCTCTCCTCGGCATGAAGCTGGTGTAAAAGCACCTCATTGCAACAGAATGGCTTTCTTTTTTGCAGCAAGTTTGGGTTTGCTGTTGGCCAACTTATTGCTCCAGGCTGTACAGGTCACCTCGAACTGCTGGGGTGCCGTGCTGTGTTTTGTTCCAGGCGGCAGAGCGCACCAGACCTGCTTCAGCTTGTGAGGCTGTGCGTTACTGGTCTCTGCCACCCTCCTGAGGTCGATCCTGTATTTGCAATACAGAAAGTACTGTGTTTAGATCGTTGGGGAAAAGGTTGTGATTTTTTGTTTTTTGGGGGGCTGCTAGTGGTGGCTTGTTTGGTTTTCTTCGGTTTTGTTTGGGGCAGCCTTAGAAAAATGCTGCCCACTTAGCTGGATAACACAGCGCAATAGCCTTGCCTCGATTCTGATTCTGTAGACTAACCAACCCATGCTTTTTTCCTCTACAATCCTCTACAGTTCTGTCAAAGCTCTAGGAACAGACCCTAACTGCAGAGTTTCTTTTTCAGGGAAGGATTTATGCGGTGTCTCTGGCCAGGAGTTTCCTCACTGTGCTGTTGGGAAACGTATTGATTGACTGCTTTCATGTAACATGCTGGGAAAACATTAAATATTTTTCAGAGAGAACACCAGTAGTAGAACTAAGGATTGCCAATGTGGCTTCAGTGCTCTGACTCTTCCCTTTCATAACTCTTCTGCAGGTTGTGTACCTGAGGAGTCCATGTCAGCACTCTCAAACAGGACTAACTGTGCACTGCAGACAAGATGGCACACCTGAGAAACCTTCTACTGTCCCTACGTTTTGCTCTTCTACAGGCAGCCATTAGGCACGTGCATGGCTTGTGGAGCTGTACAGCAAATGCTGGTAAGATCTGTACCTGGAAATTTCATCTATAATGGGCGGGAAAGCCATTACGCTATTTCTTCTGATTGTGGTACCAGAATGATATGGCTATTTGAATTGGTGCTAAGCATTCTAAGTATATTTGCTTTCTAGTTGTCTTAGCAATACTTACTCCTTTTTAATTAGTTTTCCCCTTTGCTTGTACATCTTGTTTGGCTTCTGGTGGTATAACACAAGGTACTGCCAGTGGAATCGAAGGAATCAGTTCACCTGGGTGATAAATTCTGTCAGGAAAAGAGAACATGCCTAAGAACTGAGCCTTGCAGCTGTGTTTACCTTTATCACGGTAGCCTATCCTGGGGTACTTTACAAAACGTCTTCAGGGCACTGACCGGAAAATCATGGATTCACAAATCTCTATGTGGGCATTCGTGTTGGCATTTCTAAGCACATAATTGCTTGTGTACAGAAACGAACGTGTGCCACAGTGGAGCACAGTGGTGTATGCACTTGTAGCATGAAAATATACCTTGTTTTTCTGATATCTAGCACTAGGACAGGTATGATTCTGAATCCGAGTAAATTAACTGGAAAATTGATTTTAACTGGAAGAGACATTGGGTGTTTTCCTTGATAATATCCATGTTAACACATCCCTTGAGAATTAAGCAAATTTGGTGACTGAAAGTTGATTCCATGTACATCTAGTTTGCACAGTTTATTACGTGAGCCACCTAGTTTGAGATACTCCTAAAAATAAGAAACGTCGCAGTTTCAGCATAAGCTTTATTCTCTGTTACAGATGTCTATAGAAGAATAAGATGGACTTTCCATCAGTCGCAGAAAGGATTCATACAGCTTTCAAATACATCATTTAAAATAATCACAGTAGATACTAAAGAAGGAAATAAGATAAGCCTACATGTCAGCCTGTGATTCACATTGCCCTTTGAAGTTTTGCTTGTAGATTCTTGTCTTTTTCTTAGAGCAAACTACTCAAGTTCACGTCCTCCTTTCTTCTTAGAGGTGTAAATTCAGTTCATTTTAAAGTAAAACTCAAACCAGGCCATCTAGTGCTGTGGGTGTCCTTCAGTTCGCTTCAGTCTTTTGTCGGAGTTTCTAAAAAGGCAAAAGATAGGTAGGGTTAGTTTGAAAATCTTCATATTTTTTCTGAAAATCCTGTTTTGCCAATCTGTCCAGAAGTGCCTCAAGCACCCAAATGAAGAAAGATAAAGCTTTCAGGCAGTAATGTTCTTCTGGGGCATGCATGCATAAAATTATCTTATTTGTGTAATGGCCATAGAAAGGGCCCCACAAAAGGAATTCAGAGTGTAGAGAGAAGTGCTTCGGGCAATCCTAGGGATCCTGAAAAGCTGGGTGAAAGCATGCTGGAATGCATAATAGAGTTTTGAAGACTGACAAAACACTTAAAAGATTTGGAAAGGACAGCTTAATGTAGTTGAGTGCAAATAAAGAATGAAGGGCAGTAAAGGTAAAAACAAAACTAAAAAACAAAACAAAAAGAAGCAACCAGTTGGTGGTGAGAGTTAGTACTCAGAACGTTATTAGTGAGTCATCTAGAATGCTCTTATTTACTCTGCTGTCATTCTTTGAAGTTAAACTAGTGTTTTCTGAACATCAGGCACTTCACTTGCTCTCTTAGTGGCAGCTTAGCTACTTAGCCCAGTCATTTCTGAAATGCTGTTCTGACTGTTTCACATGACAAATGTGAAATGTGGCTTTTGTTTTTTGTTTGAGTTTCTGCATTTATGTCTTGTTTGAAATTACCTTTAGCATCCTCTTCAAGAATGTCCTGTAGCATCTTCTCCAATGCTTGTCCATATTCTTGATATTCTTTTTCTGTTATCTTGACACCAATTTCAAAAGGAACGTTAAACTATAAAAACATTAAAGGAGTTTAACAGATGACCTTTGGACAAGGCACTATAGGTTAACTCTGCGTTAGGCGTGACAACAAGCAAGAGGTGGCAAAATGATGTGCATTCATTTAGTAGTGCTGAGACATGTAACGATCATCTGATAAGCGTAGTACAGGGCTGCTGCAGACCGAACCGCCTGATAAAGCGGAGGAGAGGAAACTACAGGGAACTTGCATTGTTAATGTTAGTTCTGAAATGCCAGTCCTTAACAGGAGATCACGATCTGCCTTTGTGCAGATACTTTCGAATTACTTCGTGCTGTCAATGCTGGCAGTTTTCATGTGTCTTTTTCTACATGCCCTTCAAGTTCAATGACTGTGGCTTTCATTGGTACATCTCCTGTGGCAGGAATTGTATTCCTGCTCCAACAAAATCATTTGAACTTGTATGTGAGCAGGAATGAAAAATACACACCTTGATATCAACACTGTTATTGTCATCTTCTCCCTCTGCTTTGTCTGTATCCCAAAAGCTTTCTGTGCCTCGGCGATGTAATCTTACTGTTGGTTTTCTTGCATCCTTTTGTTGCTAGAAAGCAAGCAAAATAGCACCTGTACAAAACTCCCCTAATCAAGTTGGTCTGTAGCAGGGAAAATAGAATTCATAATTAACGCAGATGCAGCAAATTAATTAGAGCCGTCGTTGGCTTCTTTTAAAGTTATGATCAGTTGAAGCTATCAGTGACTTCTTTTAAAGTTGTGTGGACGTGTAGGTATACAATAACTTACTGCTATTCTGCATCCACTTTGTCAGCAGTTTGTTTAAGGGTTCCTTATGGATCAGCCACCTTCCAATTCATTTTCAAAGTGTAGTCAACAATTTATTTAAACAGCTGCATTTGTTTGTGGGTTTTTTTGTTCAGTTGGTTGGTTTGTTTCTAAGGTTAGTAGTTACGTTTGCTCATGTGTATGGTTTGTTACAGTAATCCTCTGGAATCCCTCCTTCCTCTTCCAGAAACATTATCTTCCAAACCTCTGAACACTGTAAAGAATTTGGCTTTAAGGAATTATAGAGGAAGACAATTTCAAAAAAGCATTATTCTGAATTTGTACCTGTATGTTTTTATATGCGGGGCTTAAAAAACTAGAGCCAGCCAGAGCAGTCTCTGTCCCGAGGATGCTGAGAAGGAGAATTCCTAGCAGAACAACTCTGAGGAACATGATCGTCTTCACGAGGCGCTGCTTTATTTCTCCTGATTTGAATGTTGTGCAATTGTTTCTAAAAGCGGATATAGAAAGAAGGCACACTTGTTGCATGCAAAAAGGCAATATATTCTGTCAAAAGACAGCATTACTTACTGCGTTCTCTTCTGTAACTGAGATGTAATAACTGGAGCAGACAGTTTAGCAGAGAGAAATTATGGAGGAAAACTGGCGAAAGCTTAGAAATGCTCTGAAACTGCGCCGGTTCCCTTTGTTGCTTCACCAAACTGCTGCTTTCTGAAGCACCTTATATAGGAAGTGGGCTATTTGTTCTGTGCTGTGCTATTTCTGGAAATGCAGCCTGACGTGTGTTCAAATCCCTTGGAAACACGGGGTGCCTGTAAGACAGCGGCCGACAAAACCGTGAAAACGGCACACATCTGTTGCTGAGTTCCTTTCTGTGTGTAATGAAGCTGTGCAGGGAATTGTGTGCTTCTCATCTCCTTTTTCTGCCGTGGCGTTATCATCATTCCTTCTGAAACCAGTAGCTGTAATGGCCATTTGTTGGAAAGTCCTGAGCCCTTTTACTGTTATCTGGTGCAGCATAGCAGAAAAGAAGCAGAACTGCATTCCTAGCCTGCAGTAACAGCCACGTCTCTTGTTTTTGCCCCAAGTGTGCTTCCTCTCATCTACATTCTCTCCTGGGTTCTATCAGATTTCGTTGTCCTTTGTAGAAGGACTGAAAGCAAAGATGTTTCCTAGAAACATCATTTCTGTTACTTTGAAAATGAAATACTGCACTTTGAAGATGTCACTGAATAGCTGTAGCAATGTCTGAGGCTCTAGAAAACACCCCGTGAGGATTTTCTTCAAACCTAAGGAACAGTAGGAATGAAGTAGGAGCACACTGTAAAGGATGACAAACTTACACCTTCTGTTGCCTGTGTTCTAACTAGACTTGAATGATGTGGCTGATCTGTGGGATTTATTCCATGCTACAGATCACAAACCTTCAGTGGTAGGATGGAGGAAGGCACGGGAAATGTGTGAGATGGGAAGATGAGAAGGAATTTTAATTGAGTCAGATTTGCTGTTGGAAAAACGTAACTCAGAGCATCACTACACGGAGCACCCATCCTAACTGCTCTGCCAGGGAAGACAGCCTCTTCAGCACATCTGCAGGTTTTGAGACGATTTTTTTTTCTGGGGATGCAGTTCCACGTTGTTCTCTTTCGCAGATTCCCTGTCTCATGTTACTGCTTCCTACCTGATTATTTCAAATCAGATTTGTGGAGTGATCCAATTATTAAAAGAAAATCATTTCTGAAACATGTCTGTGGTAGCAGCTGGCTTGGTAGCACCAAGAAAGCTGGTTAGCTGAGGCAGGGCAGCTGAGAACAAACAGAGGCAATGGATGAAAGTTAGGTTCTGCAACAAAGTTAGGTTAAAAAGTTCTTGTAGAGTTAGATCTCCATCTTGACTTTTGTCTGAGAGCCTGCTGGCAGAGAACACCAAGGAGCACAAAGGAAGTAGGCACTGATGAACCACTGGAGAGCTTCTGGCTCCTAACAGAATTATTCTAACAGAAGCCCCTTGCATTTTCATGGCATACTCTGGATTCTGGGCAGACTGGGCATTCATTAGCTCTCACAAAGCCATACACAAATATCATACATGAGAGCCACACTAAGGCACCTGTCAAGGTAGACTACAGAAATTCCCCATAAGCCCCTGTGAAAGATTACCACATACAGCATACCAGGCTTTAACCAATAAGACTTTATTTTGTTGTCTAAACAAAAACCTGAGGTACAATATAGAATTGTGGCTAAAAAAAAAAAAAAAGAGTCTGCAAATCGTATTTTTCAGTTGTTGATGTTCATTAAATAAACAAGTTTGAGATTACTGCAAAGCAAAATATATATGCATTCTGCTACTCTTTCATCTTTGGGAACGCATGCAGGTTATCACGTATCTGAGCACATTACTTCCAGGGAAACCAAGCACCATTTCAGCACTACCAGAATGTTGTGTCCTGCTAACCCCACCAGCCCGCCCCGTCACTTGAAATAGTTTTGGCCTTTGAGTGGCAGAGCATCTGCCCCTTACACTGATGGGTTCACAGGTTTCATTGCCTGCCTCCTCCTGTTCCTGCTCGAGGGCCTGAAGTGTATCCAATTACATCCAACTCCTGAACCAGAAGGCAGGTTACAATTCTTACAGTATCAGGGAGTAGCACAAGGCACAGTACTTTGCTCCTCTCTTCATCTTTAATTTAAGGGAATGTCAATTAAGGCTGATTATCAACACATTGTAGCCTCCCAGTATTGGTATGAGTGCTCATAAAATTGGACAGTTATTTCCCACATTCGTGTCCAGTTTGGATAAAACCAGTTCTTATCTGATTCAAGAAACATCGCACGTCAGGTACGGCGATCACTTCCAGCAGCTGGGCTGGTTCAGTCTCACATCACTGCTCGTTCTGCTGCCCTTCTGTAACAGCAGACACTCCTCCTTGGCCCTTGTTGACGTCGCTGATGCATGCCCACAGCCCATCTACTGATTCCTTCCACAGTGTGACCTCAAAAACAGAGCAGGAACAGGTTTTAGCCTTAAACATCCCCAGTTTCTCATTGTCACCTTTCTCAACGATCACATCACTAAGATGGCGATGGTCTGTCCATACAGCAGTGTGTCAGACTTGTTTTAAGCATCAAATTATTTGTTGCTGTTTGCTAAATTGTTATCCAGCAATAAAGGGAGGGAGAATTCATTCTGGTGGTAGGATCCCTACAAAACAAAATTAAGCCTACATTTCCAATCAGGACTAAGAATGCAATGCACGTAGTTTGCCAGACGTTAGGATCTTCCTCCCCTATAGGTAAATAGATAAACAAACCACAAAAAACCCACTATTGCATCAAACGGAAGTCTTTAGCAGCCTTAACTCAAAACAACAGAAGCATAAATAAGACATGCGAGAGCAAAGTGAGGCTGCAGTACTCACTTTATTGTCTCCTCCAGACACTGCAAGTATATTTGCAGTAATGGACCAACTCACATGCCAGACAACATCATTGAACTTGTGCAGCAATTTTGGTGACCATGAATTTCCAGAGGCATCATCACACGTCCAGATAAACACTCTGCCATCCTATACAAACAAACAGACTGGGTTGGCTGGCCGCACAAAAACAAGCTTGTTTGCATTTCCAATGATGACTGCAATTCCACTGATGTGAGCTCCAAGTGTGCCTATATGCACATTTGCTGTACATAACGCTCCTTTTTCTTACTACAGCCAAAAGCAAGGCACAAGTACAGCTCACTCCTATAGAAGTCTCACCTGTGAACAGCTAGCAATGGTACTTGTTGGCAAGCCTATGGATGGAGCCCAGGCTACATCTCGAACCCAGTCACTGTGTGCCTCCAGCTTCTGCTCTTCTTTCCACTGGCCATCTTCTTCTCTGAAAATACATTTACACAGTTGGAAGGACGGCAGCAGTGCCAGCTGTGCTTTCCACCTACTGTTCTGGGAGACTTTTAATCACTTTCAGCCTCCTGGTTTTATCCCCACAGCACAAAGCACAAACGTTTTTACTCTCCTCCAAAAAGCTGTATGGCTTAAGCTGACAAAATCCCTTCTAGAGAACAGAATGCAACACATGAGAAACACATTTGGTCTTCAGTTACTGTATGGAGATCTGCTATTCTGCAAATAACAAATGTAATCAAAGACAATTAAACAGCCACTTTTCAAGATAAGATTAAGCAGATCTGGCAGGAATTGCTATGAGTGTTTCTAAGTCACTAAGTTGTTTCTATTTTTAAAGTACTTTTCTAAAATAGTAATAGTTAAAGATGAAAGCATAGAGATGCCTAAATTATAATTCAAGGTGCTACTGGGGACATTCAGAGACCATAAAGAATGACTTTTTTTTTTTTTTAAAGTTCTTAAGCCTGGTAAGAAAGCACTTACTTCCAGATCTTGACAAGGTTGTCACAACCACCAGATGCAAATCTTTTGATGTAGTTTGGTTTTTGACCAGATGGTTGTTCTATAAGGCTGCCTGGTACGACAGCAGGAGCCCAGCTAACTGCATTACATCCAATCTACATAAGGAAAAAATAAGATCATCACTAAAAGCTGTGGAGGGAGCAGAGGACATTATGCTGGATGGAGAATTTAATGGATAAGAGCTTCAGATACGGTCTATTCTCAAGTGGGCATTCATTCAGGAAGCGCTAGGTAGCTAAGTAACTGTCTTATGGGCAAATATCATCTTGGAACTGTATCCAGTGGAGACGGATTAAAAAAAAAGAAAGAGATGCAAGATGTATGCTGTTGCTAAGAGTGAGGAATGCAGAAAGAACTGTGGGCCCACAGCTCAATTTTCTTTTAGTGCAAGCCACCATCATTAACTGCTTAGGTTCCTGTCACATTTTGTTTAAACAAGAAGTCCCAATACTGTGGGAAAAGCACAGGTTTTTCCCTGCAGTTTTTCCAGCTTCTAGTTGAAGTTTACTCACAGCCAGATTGCAGGAGATGTTCTCAATATCAGAGCCCTTTCCCACTATGTAACTTCCAGCACTGTGTTTAACAATCACGCTCAGATGTATTACGGCATGGCTTTCACGTTATTTTCTGCTCCATTTTACTTACTGTAAAACATACTTTCTTACTTTGGATTTGTTTAAAACAAGTTATTTGGGGTTCTGGAAAATGATTTACATTATTTGATTGTATTTCACTATGTAGCTAGTCTGCACATTCTCTGAAGCACCAACTCAATGCTCATGCGAGGCTCCGACTCACAGTATGTGCGTTGCTGATCTTCTTGACTTCCCACTGCCCATCTCCAGTGTAGCTCAGTAATGAAATCGCGCCATCGGAGCTCCCACAGGCCAGGATCAGCCCGTAGTCGTGTGGCGCCCAGCAGACAGAATTCACTGTGAGGGATGAGATGGACTGGGTTACAACAGAGCGCTAACTCAGCTGCCTAACCCAATCACGGACTTGTACTGCTCAACGGTCACACAAAGTGAGCAGCTCTGCAAGCTAACAAGTCTTAGCACTCCTGAATTTCAGCTAAGACAGTTACCACAGTTTACTGAATGATGGAAAACTGCCTCTAGTTTTAGCACCATTTTAGATACAGACCACCAGAACAGTGAGGTAAAATCCTCTTGACTATCCTGGCAACAGTGAGGAGATATCAGTGATCCTAGAACAAAAGCTGACAAGCTGGCACAGCATTTAAAGTCTAGATCAGTAACAAAACAAAGGTATGCATCCATTATAACTCATTTTTAACCCTGGTTTAGTCTTAAGAGCATGGATCAAGAGTAAATTCTAGTTGAATCCTTTGAGAATAAAGAACAATACTGAACAGCAAAGTACCACTTCTTTCTTTGTGCCTTGGCATACTGAACACTTCAGAAACATCTCAACTGTGCTTGTAGGAGAACCAATCATGTCAACAAAACAGTTTCAACTGGAAAACAAAACACAGCATACTAAAGTTCCTTCTTCCTTTCCTCCTGTAGTGGATACATACAAAGCTATTTCAAGACTTCAGTACCCTACGACCTTGTTTGTCCAAAGCTGATTTACTTGTCCTGTGTATGTACCAGGACAGCAGCTTTTCCAGCAGTAGGCCATTCTGTAAGTGTCCTCCCTGTGCAGAGCAGACTTACTGCCTTCCCTCTGTTAATTTATCACAAACTGACAGAAAATTTCTTCCTTAACAATGATGGATTTATTCCAGTCCAAACCCCATCCTTGTCCCAGTGTCACTCCCCAGTTCCAGACACCACACACCTGAGGAATCGTGCCCTGTGTACTCATAGGTCTTTTCCCAAGTGCCATTTTCTTCCTTCCAGATAATAACCTTCCTGTCATAGGAGCAGGAAGCCAAGATGTTTCCGTACATAGGATGAGCCCAGGCAACTTGCCACACTGGACCTTCATGCCTGCAAGAAACAACATTATTTGGAAAAAGCTGGGAGAAATGCATTCCTGTTGTGGCTGTTTCAGCCACCACGTCACAAACTGGTGTTCCGTACATCACTGATACAATGATATGAAGAATATGAAAAAAATGAAAAATAGGGTATGACTGCCAGACAAAGCCATTACCATTGAAAACAATTCCAAACATTTATCCTTGTATTAAGATTGTGAGTTTAAGTCCATAGAGATATAGATGTTAAGTAAGCAATGAATCAGAAAGCCACAGCATTACTTCTGTCTCTGCTCCCCCTGGAGGCTCTGAGCAGCTGTTTGGAACAAGGAGCCACGAAGAACCACCCGGGAGAATTGACCACACATCCCCGAAGACACCGAAAGGCAAAACGACAGAGTGTTAAAGACTTGCAAAGAACATCATCTTTTAAGGCCATTTACCCTCTTAGGTCTGCAATGAGGATTTGACCTCCATTCCGAACATCAAAGATTTTCACAGATCTGTCTGAAGAACAGGTTGCCAGCCGAGTGCCATAGTAATCCATCTGTGCATCGTGCTGCAAGGCAACACATAAGGTGCTGTTGGCCCATGCAAGCTCTCCTTTCTCAATAAACATCATTACATTTTGGAAGTAGCTCTAAGAACTGCCAACAGATCACTGAGTCCCAACATGACAGGATAAGGGGAACAGTCTTTAAATAAG